AACCCCCTATATTGAGGGTTTTACCCTGAAATAAACCAAAAAAAACTTTAAAAAATTTGATTGGGAGTTGGAGGTTACCTAAAAGAAGAAGAAACAGACCGTTGAAGAGATTTCTAACTGAGATATCGTTGTTTATGGTGATAAGGAGAAATAGACCATTGTTTATGAGAAAATAAGAAAAGAGGGACAATTAATTTGTCTCTCAATCGTTTGTTGTTCTCAATCATCTCTCAATCGTTCATCGTTTACTAAAAGAAGAAGAAAAGATGGTGTGTGCACTTGGGTGTGATGATATTATGAATATGGATAAAATTAGTATTAAGTAGAGTTTTTAAAAAAATCTTATTAAAATTTAGGATTTAGGATTTAGGATGAGGGTTCAAAAAAATTAGATAGGTGCTAATAGCAACCCTCTATTTTAAATAGTAAGATTATTCATAACAAATAGTAAGCATGTTTGTAGCAACTGGTAAGTTAATATCATTTTTTTATTTCAAAATTAACTAAAACTACTTAATTTTTTTGAAAATCATTTTTTTTTTTTACCTAGTTTTGTTATTTACTCATCCAATAGTTAACATTCATCCTATCTAAATCTAATGGTGCATATATTTTTTTATCTATCATACATAATAACTACTCTCATGTACGGTAAAATTTTCCCATTTCTGTCTAGTGCCTAACCTCTCACCTAAGTAAAAACCAAAAATAAAATTAATTGAATTTGACAGACAGCAACAGATGGGATGATTGGGATCACATGCTTATATATTAGTTTAATAGAATGAAAATCACACATGTTGTGTCAAATTAATAAAAAATATATATTTAAAAAAATAATAAAAATGAAAAACAAAAAATAGTTGTAACTGTTTTGTATGCGAAAATTTACCTTTATTGTAAAAAAATATTAAAAATAAATTAGTTAAAAGTGAAATTAATAATAAAATTTGTGTGATCTATAATAAATAATTATTTATTTATTTATGTAATTTAAAGCAAAGCTTTAAAGCATGAGCCCTTACCTATATATAGTACTAATGGTTGGCACACACGATGTGGTTACAATTCAAATAATTAAAACTACAACAAAATATTTGTTATATATTGTGTGTCACTCAAGTGGTAAGAATTTTCTTCATTAGACAAAAGGTCCAAGTTTAAATTCCACTTTCCCCATCTATCTACGTTTTTTTTTAAAAATAAAATAAAATAAAATAAGAGTGATTCTACTTACACCACTACTTTACCTCTTTACACTCTCCATATGAGAATTTTTTTTTTTCCTTTCAATTTTATCCATGTTTGAAATTACTTTTAAGGACAAAATACTAAAATTAAATATATTTATTATCTCCTTACACCCCATAAACTTTAATCCCTACTCATGTTCTTCCTTTATCAATTTTTCTTCCCTCGTACACATCTCTTTTCAAAAAGTAAGAATTATAGTATTTTGATCATAGAAGAAAGCAATGGGTGAAAAAACGGTGGTGAAGAACCATCAAAAAGTAAGATTGTGAGTTTTTTTTATTTGTTTGATAGGTTTTTGTTTCGTTTTCTAGACAGTTCTTCGAATTTTGTACAGTGTTTTGAAATCAAACAAATAAAATAGTCCGACATCATATTACTGAACAAAAAATATATGTCTGGTAACCAATTGTATAAAAAAGATACATTTCCAATAATCCAAGATTGAATTTTTTAAAATTTGTTTGGGTATTTATTACCATGTATTTCTAGTTTCATTTTTTTTTAAAGGGCAAATTACATATACCTCCTTCGAGGTTTAGCTAAATTACAGATACCCCCCTGAGATTTCAAAAATTACAGATACCCCCCTGAAGTTTATATTTTCATAACAAATTACCCCCTGAGGTTTATATTTTCATAACAATTTGCCCCATAATTTGTTATGCAAATAGTACCTTCAGGGGGTATCTGTAATTTCTCAAACCTCATGGGGGTATCTGTAATTTTGCTAAACTTCGAGGGGGTATATGTAATTTTCCCTTTTTTAAATATATTTTTGCTTAAAAGGATTATGTTTCTATTCATTGCAACAATTCAAGTACTCTATTATTTGTGGACTCCAGTCATGAATTCATTACAGGCGAGATTTGTTAAGTTATTTCATGAATATGATTTTTTTATGAAGGACAACATATTGCTGGGAAAAAAAGTTTGTTTGGTAACATGACACTAGATAATTCAAATTCATTAGCATATTGTATTACCGAACAGGTTCAATACAAATTTAAAAATAATTGTTTTGAAGAAAATGGCTCTGTAAATGTATAGTAACAAAAAGCTGGAGAAATATATAATTTTTTTTCGGCAACATAACACTGGATGAATGTAAATTGCTTAGCATTGTGTGACTGAACAGTCACTTCGCTATGGGCTCCACTCACAGTTTTCTCTACGACTTTCTCTTTCCCCTTACTACGTCTTTCTCTGTTCTCTTATTTTCCCTCCAAAAGAGATGAAAGGGTTTTAAAGAATCATACTTTAGGGTTAGTTTTGATAATATAATAGATGTAATGAGAATTACATTTTTTTTTTAGTAGTGTAATAAGATGGAGGGTGTAAAGACATAAATTAGTTATGTAAGTAGAATCACTCTTTAAATAAATAAAAAAAATTAATTATATTTGGGACCTCTTTGCCCTTAGGACTCTTTCAGAACCCAACTTTGGGACCGACGAGTTTACTAACACCCCTTACTGGACAGTCTTGCTCTGAGTTCCAATGCCAAACTAGTATTCAATTGTTTAGCAGAAGACAAATGCATCTTGCTCCAGATCAAATCTGCTCATAACCATGGCCTATACTGAGGCATTGTACCAGTTCCCCCAATGTTTTGTCACATTCCTTCTCATTATGCCCTAGCATTCCATAACCATAGCAAAAGTTTGGAAGATGTTTATATTTGAACACTACCCATACTGCATCTCGATTAGGAGTCTAAATCTTCATGCTTCGCCGCAGCGGCTTAGTTATATCAATGGCCACTCGAATACGTAAGATTCGCCCTAAGCCATGCCACTAACCTCAAACTCAATATCAACCACACTACCAAGTCGGCCACCAATGAGCTGCCCCACATCTTCCGTCATACTACCCAAAGGTAGATTATGCACTTGCACCCATAAAGTTGCCTTTGAAAACACAATCTCTAAGGGTTTAAGTGAGAGATCAAAATCCACTAAAAAGAGAAGGTGTTTGTCAAAATTCCAAGGTCCATTCACAAGCACCTTCTTCTTGTCCACAATATAGTTAAAATGGAAAAGAAAGAGATTATCACCTAAGTTCTTAACTTGCATGCCCTTCTGAGGCTTCCATATGGATTTCATCATAGTTTGTAACGTATCACTACTAAATGGCTTAGTTGATAGTATAGTTTCCCAATAAGGCAAAGCCATGCAACATCATCAATGGGTTTGGTATACACTTTTTCAATGGTGATAACATCCTCTTCCGCCTTTGTAAGCACAAGTTCTGACCTTGACCAAAGCCAAAACGACACCCAACCCCTAAGAAAAGGAGAAAAACTTACACAGAGAACAAAAAGGACAAAGACAAAAAGTTTATTACCTTTAGTCTTCTAATATTAAACACCACTAGTTTTAAATAAATATTTGGGGAAATTATATCTTAGTGGAACCTCCAAAAATTAAGTACCCGTTAATGAAAAAGTTTATCAATTTGTATTTTAATGTTCATAAAATTTATCATTAATTTGTGAAGGGGCAAAGTATAAATGGGTCGGACCCAAGCCTTGGACTGGCTCAATCCCCAAGATCCAAGTCCAAATGGGTCGGGTGAACATTTGGGTAAGCCAATTAAGCCCTACTCCATGATTAACAGTCCATCCAAAGTCCTCAAGCACTTGGGCCCAACTCGCAGTGGAAAGGCCAATCCAGTTGCGATACTGGGTTGGGTCGAGCTACAGGACTTAGCTTACAGACCGAACCGATGGGTCGAACCCATCATCAGAAACCAAAGTGGGCCAAGCCCACAAAAAATATTTAATTGGGCCATCCCCTCTCTGTAAATAGCCTAGGGGAAAGCCGAGCCGAGGAACAATGGCACCAAGCTGAGGGAACCTCACAGAGAAACGTGGGAGTTGTGAGTGCAAACATATGCAGGCAGCCACCTTAGCTGGTCCCCTTCCTCCAGAATCACGGAAGTAGTTAAGCAAGGGAATGTGATCTATTATAAGCATGAAGACAATGAGAATATGCATCCATGGTCCCTATCTTAAGCAATGCTAAAGAGAGCCCAGCTGCACCAAAGCTTTATGAAACCATCATGGGCAACAAGTAAGGTGTTCTATATAAACTCCACTCATTTCACATTGAAGGTAACCAAGCTAAGCCAAACTATACTCACTTGAACACAACTCTCTACATTTAGAAAGTACACTTTATCTTCTCCGATCACTTACCCCCACACCGGAGGGATTATCTAGCCAACTCTGGCCAGGCAGCTTTGACGGTGCTTATTGTTACAGGATCTCAGTTCCTAGATAGTCCAATTAGGTGCGGAGCTCCGGTCCACAATCATCTAGTATGGAATTCGGTACGCACAATTGGTGTGGTGAACGTGGACCCTTCATCTCTAAGTTCAACATTTGATTTTGGCGATGGGAATTGAGGATATTCCACCCTTGGCATTGACTCCACAAATGGAGAAGACGAAGGATAAAGGCCTGGCGCTGCCAAAAGTTCTAGAGGAGTAAACCGGAAACAACAACCGGACTCCCGAATCTGTTGAGCATCAAAAGCCCTTCGCTGGTGGTTCTTCCCACCATTTTCTGTTGGAGAAAGATTATAGAGATCGTATCATCGATTCCATAGGAATGGAGATACAAGAACTAAAAGCGCAACTCAAAAGGATGATGGGCGACCCAACGGAGAAAAGGACCGACGCAGAGCCCTCTCGTCTGCACTAGAGGAACTCATCCTGGGAACCACCGGTGAAAAAGGTCCCCAGAAATGAATCTGGGCAGCAAAGTTAGCCAATCCTGGTGCAAAGTGAAGCAACGAGCAGCCACACCTGTGGTTCACGCCGGAGAAGAGCTAAGAGGCAGAAAACAGCTAGCCAGCAGACAGAGTATCCTCCTCAGGATCTCCGTACTTGGTTAGTCGGGAACAGACAAAATGAGCAACGACGAGAGCGTCAGGCTTAACACCTTGATTGTACTATCCATCAATGAGAGCATCGAGCACTGGATTGGCTCGTCTCCTCTCATTTCTCCCTAGAAATCGAAGCGATGAGACCCCCCAAGAAATTCACTCCACCCAAATTCACGTCATATGATGGGAAATCGAACCCACTAACACATATCAGCCATTATCAGCAGATGATGTCCTTATGGAGCTGAGATAAGGCACTAATGTGCAAAGTCTCTCCATCCAGCCTGGGAGAATCCTGATTCGATGGTTCGATCATCTCCCCACTGGATCTATTTATGACTGGAAGCAGCTCTCTAAAGAGTTCTTGGCCAAATTTGTTTCCAACACTAAAATCTCGAAAGAGCTAGACACCTTATTCGGTCTCCGAAAGGAACTTGAGGAAACACTGCGTAATTATGCAAGAAGGTGTTGGGAAAAGTATAATGATTTGAAGAAAAATGTCTGCAGTGAACAAATGGTTGTAATGTCTTTTAAACAAGGTCTACGACTAGAAAGCAAGTTGAGACAGCCACTTACAAACCACCCAGCTACAGTACTGAAGGACTTACGTGTCAGGATTGAGCAGTACGCTCGTCTTGAAGATGATCAGATCCCCATCAAGGTGGCATCGGCTGAACAGAAAACTCGGGGGAACAAAAGAAGAACAGTCCAAGGGAAACCCCGAGGAATCACAATAAATGAAGTAGACAAGTCTAAATCCCATGAAGTAGTTGTTACAGTCTTCAAGGAACCTATCTATCGTATTATAGAAAAAATCAAAAGAGAGTCGTTCTTTACTTGGCCGCCAAAGATGCTAGGAGACCCAGCTCGACACAACCAAAAGCTCAAATGCACCTATCATTATATGACTCAAAATTGTAAAGCATTAAAGCAACACCTGGAGGATTTGGTAGCTGTTGGGCATCTCCAAGATTACATCGATTCGGACAAAGTAGTGACCGAACAGGGGAACCCTTTACCAGAATCGAACGTCAATTATCCGCCTCGATTGGTAATAAATGTAATTCATGGCACAACCAGTCACGAACGGGAAGAGACACTTCATGAGGAAGTTGTAAAAACTGTATAGATTCAGCAAGTCATGTCAGTGGGACCAGCACTGAAAAAAACCAAGGTAGCGCAACAGATGTATTGTATTACGACTTGTTCAGGAAGCTCGCTCTCTCTAAGCAGCACCTTACCCCAGCGGCAGCTCCATTGGTTGGCTTTAATTCGTAGCCTGAATGGCCACTTGGCAGGATAATGTTGCTAGTTGTGGCTGGGACAAAAACCCCTCAGATAGAATTCCTAGTTATTAACACACTATCTCCTTACAACGCTATACTCGATTGGCTTTGGATTCATCAAATGGAAGTAGTCCCCTCACCCTATCACCAGTTCATTCGCTTCCCGGCAGAACACGGAGTAGAACAGATCTCAGGGGATCAAGTGGTATTGAAGCACTGTTTTATGGCAGCCATGAAGGCTAAACAACTCTACAATCGAGTTCAGACAGTTGAAGTAGCAGAGCAGCCTATCCTGGAGGATGTCGGAGGAAGTAGAGGATATGGAGAAAGTTTTAGTAGAGGAAAATGACCTAGAAAAGTACTTCATTATCGGTACCTCGCTAGGCGCTGATGAGAAACTTTAACTGCTAGATTTGCTGAGGAAAAATATGGACGTATTCGCATAGTCAGCATATGATACTCCAGGGCTGAATCTATAATTTTCTTGCCATAAACTCAACGTCAACCCTTCCGTTCGGCCCATTGTGCAAAAAAGCTGAAGATCTTCAGTTGAGCACACCGAAGCAGTAATTGTGGAGGTCGACAAACTTCTAGCGGCAAAGGTCCAACACAGTCGTAGTCAAAAAGAAGAACGAAAAGTGGAGACTCTGCGTTGACTTTACTTGCCTTAATAAAGCTTGTCCAAAAGACAGCTTCCCTTTGCCTTGCATAGACCAACTGGTAGACTCAACGGCAGGGCATGAGCGTATGAGCTTTTTGGACGCTTACAGTGGTTATCACCAGATACCACTATTTGACCCAGATCAAGAGAAGACAACATTTATCACTCAAAGAGGCACCTACTGCTATAAAGTAATGCCATTCAGCCTTAAGAATACCGAAGCAACCTACTAGCGAATGGTAACTTGAATGTTCAAAGAGCAGTTCGGCCGGACTCTAGAAGCCTATATAGATGATATGGTACCGAAAAACAAGCTTGCTACAAACCACCTCACAAATCTGAGAAAAGTTTTCAATATCCTAAAAACCCATCAGCTTCGCCTCAATGCCTCAAAATGCGCTTTCGGGGCAGGAACAGAGAAGTTCTTGGGGTACATGGTGACTCACAGAAGAATTGAGGCAAATCTGGATCAAATCAAAGCAATACAAGAAGTCGAGATACCAACAAAGGCCAAAGAACTGCAAAAACTAGCTGGAATGGCAGCAGCCTTAAACCGATTCATCAGCAAGTCATTAGATCGGATAAAGCCTTTCTTTCAACTGTTGAAGAAAAAGGTTGTGTTTAAATGGGGTCCCGAATGTACTAGAGCACTGCAGGACCTCAAAAAATATCTCAATACACCCCCCTTCCTTTCCACTCCATAACCAGGGGAAGAGTTGTACCTGTATTTGGCGGTCTCAGACCATGTGGTAAACGCAATACTGATTCGCGAAGTTGAGAGGGAACAGAGACCAGTGCACTACATCAGCAAGACTCTCCTAAACACCGAAACACGGTATCTACCATTGGAAAAGTTGGCTTACGCTCTGCTCATTGCATAAAGAAAGCTACAACACTACTTCTAGGGCCATACCATCAATGTTCTCACTGAATTCCTTCTCAGATCTGTCTTCAACCAAGCTGATTTCTCGAGCTGAACGACGAAATAGGTAGTTGAGCTTGGTGAGTTTGACATACGGTATTAGTCTAGAATAGCAATAAAGGCCTAGGTCTTGGTAGATTTTGTCACCGAATTCACCTTCACCCAGAGCATCGAACATCAGAACTCCAGCTCGGTACAAGTGCCATGCACCACCGAACTGAGCAAACAGTGTGCTTCAAAAGCATGGAAACTCTTCATTGGTGACATCTGGCAGCTTTATGTTGACGAATCATCCAATAATCGAGGCTCGGGGACAGGAGTGATACTCATATCTCCAGAAGGATTCATCTGGGAGCAGGCTCCAAAGCTTGGATGGAAGGCCTCTAACAATGAGGCAGAATATGAAGCCCTACTAGCTGGATTGCGTAGTGTCGAACACTTCAGTGCAGATCAACTCCTGGTTTTTAGTGATTCTCAGTTGGTTGTCAATCAACTCACTGGGTTCTACGAAGCAAGAGATAAAAGAATGACCATGTATGTAGACAAGGCAAAAGATTTACTTAAGAAATTCCAATCCATACGAGTGGAACGGATCGATCAGGACAGAAATAGTCATGTTGATGCCTTCACCTGCCTCGGCTCATCAGTGGACACTAAAGATGCTAGAAAAGTTTGGGTTGAGTTTGTGCCAGAACTGAGCATTGCATCTCCAGATCCAGTCCTCTACACTAACCTGGGACCGAGCTGGATGGATCCAATACTTGTTTTTCTAAGATCAGGCATTCTCCTCGAAGACAAGAAAAAATCCAATAAAATTCGACACTGATCAACTCGATTTTGAATTTCACCATCTGGGAAATTGTACCGACGCTCCTACTTTGGCCCTTATCTGCTATGTGTGCATCCAAATGTAGTCGCGGAAGGTCTCTATGAAGTTCACGAGGGGATTTGTGGAAGCCACGTTGGTGGAAGGTCACTGGTGTACCGTGCCCTCACTCAAGGATACTAGTGGCTACAGATGTAGCAAGATGCATAGCAGTACGTACAGAAGTGTGATAAGTGTCAGAGATTTGCTCCGTTAATTCATCAGCCAGCCAAAAATCTTACTCTGCTTACTAGCCCATGGCCTTTTGCTCAGTGGGACTTGGACATCGTTGGAGCTTTGGCACGGGGGACTGGAAACAGACGCTTCTTCATCGCCGTAACCGACTACTTTACCAAGTGGGTGGAAGTTGAAGCACTAGCAAACATCAAAGAAGCAGACACAAAACGGTTTGTTATGGGGAATGTCGTAGTTCGTTTCGGCATCCCACCAGTACTGATTGTAGACAATGGAATGTAGTTTGATGGAAAGGTTTTTAAGAAGTTCTATGCCGATCTCAAGATTGAATATCGAAATTCCTCTCAGAGTTACCCACAGAGCAATGGCAGGCAGAAGTGTCCAACAAAACTATCATTAACGGAGTGAAAAAGCAACTTGAGAGTGCAAAAGGGAAGTGGGTTGAAGAGTTGCCTCCTGTGTTATGGGCTTACCGAACCATAACGCGGCGCTCAACAGGGGAAACACCTTACTCCTTGACCTATGGAATGGAGGCTGTTATTCCACTAGCAGTCGATCTCCAAACCTTCCAATCTGAATTGTTTGAGGAAGCTATTGCACAAGCTTTGCACAAGGCGAAAGGCCGAAGTGAAGCAGTACTGATTAGACTTGTCTCCTATCAGTAGAAACTTATCAAAAATTTTGATAAGAAAGTTTTCCCAAGACAATTCACACCTGGAGAGCTTGTTCTGAGGAAAATTATGGACCACAAAAGGGTGCCTGGAGAAGGGAAACTAGGACCTAACTGGAAGGGTCCTTACAAGGTCACAGTGGTAGCTGGGAATAGAGCATACTACTTGGAAGATCTCAAAGGCAAAACCATACCTCAGCCTTGGAATGTAGCCAACCTCAAAAATATCTGTACAACTCTATGGTCAGAACATATTATTCTAATCTAAGCCTTGGGGGCACATTTCAAAATAAGAGTGATTAGCTTTGATGTTTACCAAATGGACTTAGCTTTAGTGTTTACCAAAAGGATTTAGCTCTGATGATTATCAAGTGGACTCAACTTTGATGATTATCAAATAGACTTAGCTTTGGTGTTTACCAAACGAACTTAGCTTTGGTATTAATCAAACGGATTTAGCTTTGATAATTATTAAACAGATTTAGCTTTGGTTTTAACCAAACGGACTTCGTCTTGGAGCAACCGAACTGAATTTAGTTTTAGTTAGCACTCAAACATGCTAAGTGGAATTGCTTGGTAGAATTATGTTTAGCAACTAAAATGGACCTTAGCCAAGTAGAATTGCTTGGTGGAAACCACGCTAATGAATTTTCACTATTCATTTTCTTTTTTGGACATCGCAAAATTTCTTAAGTATCAATACATAAATAGTTCCGTACTGCTCTATACAAAGCACAAGTTGGAACTGACTTAGGTAATTCTTTCAGGATCACACTCCTAACATTAATCTCACTTAGCTCCAGGTGGGGGCAAATAATTGTTTTTCAGAACTAACCTGGACTTGAGTAAGACTCCATATTTCTATATTTTTTCCATTCAAAGTACACTTCTGCTATCAAAGCTGAAATAGATTTCAGTAGTTCTATCCAAGATCTCCAATGCCAATCTTACTTAGCTTTAGGTGGGGGCAAACAATTGTTTTTCTTGGGCTCAACCTGGACCTAAGTAATACATTCTTCTTCGATTTCAAAGCCAAGCATATCAAGTAACCAGACCGAGCATTTATTCGGCCCTGCAGTCCCAACAATGCTCGGCCGAGGCAAAGAATATAGATAGTGCAAGCATTAGAACATAAAAGTATCAGAGTATCAGATTGCAAAGATTAACAGAAAATGTTCCATCATTCAACCAAGGCACAGCTGGCCTCACAAAATAGCAACAAACCAAAAAAAAAATTTATCTTAGCAAGCATCTGGGGGCAACTCGTCAGGAAGACTGAGCTCCAGTACATCAAGAAAACGAAAAGAAAAAGAAAAATGTATAACTCAAAAGAAAAAACTTTAAATCAATGCAAAAATCACTTCAACTCTCATCAACAGGAGGAACTTCAGGGGCACCATTCACAATTTTGTCTACGTCAACTTAGGGAGGAAAAGTAGAGACAGCTCCAACTTCCTGAGAAGTAGGAGCCTCCTTAACCACGTCTCCTATAGCCTCAGTCTCCAAGTTTCCACTCCCTTCAACATTTAT